CCAGCCAAAAGGAAAGATCTGACCTCAACGTGGGGAGCAGCAGTTGGGACTCATGCCTGCATAGCTGCTCGGGGAAGGCAGAGGGAGGCTGCTTGGCCAGCGTGGCTGGTGGCAGAGGTGTGCTGCAAGACAAGCAAAGGTGGCTTCTGCCTGCAGTGTCCACTGGGGGCAGCCAGTGTGACTGTGGGAAGCAGTGGCTGCTGATCTGGGAGCACTGGGGAGATGGGGTGCCACTTCTGTGGTGCGGGTTGCTGCTGGAGTCCCAAAATCACGCTCAAGCCTTGCTGCAGCAGCGATGCTAGGCAGTCCTAACTTGTGTGACTGATGCCAAGAGAGGGCTTTGGTTCATGATTCTGGATTTCATCAAGAATCCTTCCTCAAGTCCAAATTTAAGTCTCTGTCTTCTGTCGGCAAGCTGGGGAGAGCTGCCTTCTCCACCACAGGCACTGTGCATGTAGAGTGGGTTAAGGCAGGGAGGCACAAAAATAGTGAGGCAATGGGTGACCACAAAGCACCATAGTTAGACATGGTTTGTTTAGTGCCAGAAGTATGCAAGTCACTTTGCCAGACAAGAATCTTCCTCCCAGAGAGGCTCCCAAAGAGCCTATCATCAGTTTTTTCAAGTGTTTGCAGTTTGTTGGCTGAAGCTTTCCACTGGAATTGGTCTTGCCTAGGGGCTGTACACTTGCAGGGTTGGAAAACATAGTGTTGATGTACTCTTGCCAAATGCAGCTTGTTCCTTGGATTGTTTCCTTTCTCTAATCACTGTTTATCTTTACATGGGCCAGATTGGCCCATTTCTTCCACTCTTTCACTAGTCTCTATAACAGATATATGATCTCTGAAATTCTTCCTTGGCTGACCACAGTTCATTCATCAGGGAATAAATTTATCCCTTTCTTGGGCAATTAGTAAGCACTCGGTGAATTTCCAGAGGCATTTCTAAGACTTCCGCCACCTTGGATATTTGGGTGTCACACTAGGACTACCCTATGTGCGCCCACTCTTTTCCCCTTTAGCAAAGCATCTCCCACCAACAGCCCACAGAAGCACTGTACTTCCAGCTCTTGGAAAGGAGTCGGCTCCTCCCCACTCTCCCTGCACTTTGGCAGGCAAGGGGAAAAAAAAAGAGCTACCCAAAACCTGCCCTCAGCTGTGTTTCTAAGCAGGGATTTTCACTGAGCCAACTGCAATTGTGATTTCTACTCTCTTTCTCATGATACTTGTTTTGATTCTGTCTATCCACCTCTGTCTCTTCTACCCTCCCAGGCCCATTTGCTTAATATTCTGTTATCATTGCTTGTATTTCAGTATATATTCTAGTCTGAATAGGTAAAAAAGATGAATAAAAGATTACCATCTCTTTTTACAGATAGACAAGTGAGAGAGTTGAAAAATTAGCTTATTCCTTCACAGTCTGCAGCACAGTCAGAAGCAGAGCCTCAGTCCTCTGAGTTCCGTACCCTGATTGTAATCCCACCATTTCCCAACTGAACCCATTCCAACTCTTACTGATTCTGAAGGGCTTGGATGAATGTGCTTTAGAGGTATTTCTAGCTGCCTGGGACAGCAAAAGCAAAACTTTTACACTGAAGAGAGGGAAAGTAACTGGCCACTAAAACACTGGGAGGCAGATTCAGCCCTTACATAAGTGAAAGCGATGCTGTTTTGCCAAGTCTCAATTTGCCTCTGTATCCATAGTATTGCATATTTTAAGTTCTTCTGGCCAGAATGAAAAGGGGTTTGGTAACCCAAAGAAACCATAAAGCCCAGCTTTGAACCAGCTATAACACAGCCGGCTGCCATCTATGACAGCTGGAGATCATTGGGCTGCAGACACAGTGCCAGCACACAGATCCATCACCCATTGCCCCCTGTGGGGATGCAAGGACCATCGCCAGACTATTCCCATCTCGCAGCCAGAACCATGAGGCTGAAGCAGCTCCACTGCCATCTCATGCTGTGCTGCTTCTGGCCTGCCTCCGTTAAGAGCCTGCTCTTCACCACCCGGAGCGGAAGCCAGGGTTGAGCACGGCAGTGATGCAGAGGGCCCTGTGTGCTTCACCATGGGATTTTTCACACATTAGCCTCTGCAGAACTCCCACTTAGAAATAAAAATCACAAGTCTGGGGCAAAAAGTATGTGCCAAGGCCCCTTAATTGGATGAGTCTCTATTAAATTTCCCAGTGGCTCTGTAGTATATTATATACAATTTCTAACTTCTTTCTTCTCAAGCACGTATTTAACATTTGGGTGTGCAGATCCTTATGGAAGAAAAATGCTGTGACTTTATAAAAGTCTTGTAAATATTGCCTGTGTAAGAGAGCACATGGGGTTGTGATGTCCAGGCAGCTAGCACAAATGGGTAGATTCATGTAATTACCAGAGTCATCTCTGTCACCAATGAGTTGTACTTCATTCAAAACAATGACATTAGCTTGCAGGTAGTGAAGACAACAAAGTTTTTTTGGACAACTGAACATGCTGTCTTGAAATTCTCATGATATGTTAACGGCACCCTGACCTGTGTGTCTCTCTGTGTAAATAAAACAACTAAACCTATTCTTTTTGTAATCTTCTTGCACATTCTAAAATAAATAAATAAGTACATAAATGTGGAGTTTATTTTAAAAGCCTTCGTATTGCCCCTTCTCTATTTAACACAACAAGGCACAAATGCAGCACAGATGAATGTGACAGCACTTGCAAAATACAAAGCTCCAGCAAACACAAGACTAATCCAGAATAACTTAACTTTCCAGAGGAAATGGGAAAAACAAAAAAGAAGGATGCTGGCCCCTAGATGCTGTGGCAACAAACCCTCTTGGCGGACCTTGAGCAAGAAACCCTACCTGTCCTCTGCCCTACATTAGCATAAGCTAAACTCAAAGATATGGTAGTTAGTAACATGCCCCTGTCCACAGCTCCTAAACAAATGACTGCACCCTTTTGTGGTCATGATTTCAGTGGCCAGTGTGGTATCTCAATTTAGGCTCTAGAGACCTCATGACAACCATGCATGGTGACTGCTGCATGTAGGAGGAAGGCTCCTACACCCCATTTCCTCCCTAAGACACCTGCACCACAGAGAAATCTATAAAAGGCCACAGTTTAATTAAAAAAAAAAAAAAAAAGTAGACATTTTCAAGAACTGGCCTAATCACATTCAGTTCCTTTAGTGCTTGCTTGAATAATCATGATGAACTCTGTCAGTGTTAATGGGGGTGTTATAAGTATCTGTGTAGGACCGCCTCTGTAATTCAGCATTAATTAGCTGAATCATTATTTTAGAGTGTTACTGAATTATCTTATAATTACCACCTAACTTGGTGCTTGTAAATGAGGCAACAGAAGGAAATGGCAATTCTTTTAAATGTACTTAAAATTAAGAAGGCACAATAAACACTCCATTCTGTCCTTTCTAGAAGCTTTTTTATCTTCTGTGAGATGTAAGGCTAGTACAACTGCTTTCATCTATGCCTTGCAGATTTATTACAATTATTATAACAAATGGAAATGAATATTTTTCAGGTTTATTACCCCATAGTATATCTTTATGAGCACACAGGAAACCATGTCGCTTCTTTATCCACTATGTATGAAGAGAAAGAAAAAATGCTGCCCAGGAAAAGAGAGTATTGTGATTAAAAAAAAAAAGATCATTTGATTCCCCTAATATAACTGCCTCCCTAATAACTTATCTGCTCTGATTCCCAACACAATCAGACCTAATTGTTGCTCACTAAGAAGCCTCATTACAGCTTGACTAGGAACATATTTAGGAAATACCATGTACATTTTGTTGTCACTGATTCTGCCCTGGAAGTACTAATTCTGTGGTACAGTCTATTGCACCATACCTCCCTGCCTGAAATGTGCAGAAGCAGGCAGGAAGAAAATGAGTATGTTCGTCACTGGGCAAATCAGGAAAGCTTTGTAACATCTGGCTGGTTTGGGGTTAGATGCTTGGTATCAGGGGGATTGGACTAGATACCTTTTGAAGGTCCCTTACAACCCAAACTATTCTATGATTCTAGTCTATGACTCTCTTCTAGGATCAATTTTGAATGCTGTGGAAAGACCCTTTGTCCAGATATTCATATGTTCCCAAAAGATTATTCAGTAAAATTTTTTTCAGGACTTTCTGAGCGCACAGACACATGCTTTAAAAAACATAAAGAAGTGCGCTAAGCAAACCCCTCCTTAGTCTCAGGCTTTTACTGGAAAGTGCTTTTCATAACTTCTCTACTCAGACTAAAAGAGATTGTCCAGGTCAACAGATCTGAGGTCTGCAAGGCCAAAGGGGAGTCAATGTTGTGCAACCAGTTGTACTGGCAACCAGACATTTTTTGCGTGCTTTAGTTTTTCAGGGTGTATTCAGAGATTTGCAGCAGACAGTTACAGTCTGCATTCTCTTACATTTCCATACACTCCTTATGAGAGAGTCACAACACACCTATAGCCTCCATTTTGCTAGTATTTTGCTGGCAGAGCTGAGGGCATGTTAGTACTTGACTTCTTTAGCAGCTAAGTGCTTCTAAACTTGAAACAAATACATATTTGTATATGTGAGGAATAGAGATACTTGAAAAATCTTTGTTGTGAACAGATTTTCAGCCTGACTATTCTTAAATACATTGCTTCCTCAACACTAAATATTGCATGCAATTTGAAATAATGTAATTGTTTATCGTGGATGACTGCTGGTAGGATGTTATACAGTGAAGGTATGAAACACTAAATCACAGTTTACTTTTATATCTATAAAAAATACGATTTCCATATACTGGCATGTTTATTGCTTTGAGCCCAAGCCTGTTATTTATTAGGATTAACTCTGTAATTTTTAGAAATGGCAGGATATTACTATTGTGATTGCTTTTTTCACTAGAATCGTGAGGTATTCACTCTTCATACAGAGCAGTTTAAATCATGGGAAGAATGCACAGCACGGTTAAACAATTTGGTGTCAAACATAGTCCACAAATAACCATACTTACGTATAGTAAGGTTTTGCAGGTGACAGGAGAATGTTTTTCTTTCCTTAAGTTTCTCAATCCTCTTAGCCAAGGTCAATCAATTAAAAATGCGTGTCACAGCTGGTCTTCAAAGACAACTTTCTGAACAGGCAGTAGCAGTCCATTATTAGGAAACAGAACCATCCTGAAAGCAAGAAAATAAAACACTTGGAAGTTTATATGCTGAAAATATAACTGATAGAAAAAAATTGTGATTGGAAGGGACTCTGGGAGCTGATCTAGCCCAGCCTCCTTCTCAAGGCAGGACTAACTTTAAAGTTTTGTCAGCACCTCAGGATCCCATGTAAGTAAATTTTGCTTATTTCCCAAACTTTCCAAAGCTCCAAATGACAAAATGCAGCTCTTTGTTCAGCTTATATCTATAACACCCCCAGTTTGGGTTGCATTTAGGTATGTGACTCCTACCTGCACTGCTAGCATCAGCACAGGCAGTAGTTTTGCATATTAGTAAGGCTGCCAACCACCTTAAAGAGCCCACTTCCAGTTCTGCATAGCATTTCCAAACACTACAAAACATTTCCATACTGGGTGAATTTATTTCTTTGGTTTTGATTTAAAACACAAATTTCAGTGGAATTAGCTCAAGAGCTTCTAAGGAGCAGACTCAGGAACAAGCCTTCTGCTGATAAAATTAGTGCCCTCCCATAACTCTGGAGCAAGAACAAGAAGCTGTGCCAAAGAACAGCTTCTCTGTGCAGTTTCTCTGGAGGTCCACCCACATTTGGTTAAAGGATGAGTCTTACAAAAACTGTGATTGAATCCACTCAGTGTGGACCTGCTAGCCTTTAAGGAGTACTGTCTGAGAATGCCAGGCCCATGGAGCATGTCTGAACCTCTCTCCACTTTTTTTGGAGAGCAAACTTCAGCTGTGTGCCAGGACAGGACTCAGGCACGAGTAAGGCACGTGCTGACCTACACACCAGTCCTTGCTGCCAAAGGGATGAAAGTATGGTCAAACTAGCAGCCAGAGGGTTGCTGTCACTTGCACTATGTTTGCTGCAGAACAGGAACACCAAGTGGAGTATGACACTATGTGCCAGGGATGGAAAACAGGTGGGCAGTGGCTGGGGCACAGGAAGGGTTGACTATGGGACAGGAACCCAGGGACTGCTGCTGAAGGAACCAGAATAAACAAGCCATGGATGGGGAGTCTGGAAAGGGAAAATAGGAGGTACAGAGAAAGGAGCAAGGAGCCCATGCCAGCAACTGTGACCTTAGTATCAGGCTTGGACCAGCCAAACAGGGAGAGAGCAAGAGGCCAACACTGACAGAGAGAGAGCACAAAGACAGAACAAGTTAGAAAAGACAAGGTGATCATCACTACCAGACCTGATGCTTTAGAAGCATCCATGACTTCATTTACACAACATGCTGTTAAACGAGGTGGTACTATTAAAGACACTTTAAAATGGCAATCTAAAATCTGGGGAGATGTAGGTCCAAAGGTTCTACTATTCTTGGTGTCTGCTCTGAGTCATGTATTTGTTTTTCTCAGAGCATTTACCACTACATAATGTTTCAGGCATTCAGAGCTCATGGGTTACATAGCTGATCATACACCTGAAAACCAGAAGCCATGGTCAAGTGTCTGTAAAATAAGGAATGAAAAACTAGGAATAACCTGTGAAAAAAACTGGTTTCAGCAACTTCACAATGTCTTAATGGGACTCCTTGGCAGAGCCAGAATAAGAACCAGCTCTGCAGTGCAATGCTCAACTGAGTCTCCCTGAGCTCCAGACTTTCTAGTATATCTTCACTTTCAATTGGACATCTGAGAAAAGTCTGTCACGGGCTGGTTTAAAGAAGGAATTTGTCAAGATAGAAAGGTAGTTACAAAAATTATGAGAAGAACAAAATGGCAGGAAATATTATTAAAATGTTGATGAATATGTTTAGTTTCCCCCACTGCTTCATCGTCTCACCATTTGGGCTGACTAGTGCTCTAACTTACTCCAGCACAGGCATGAACTAAAGAGCTTCTAGTGACATCTCCCCTGCTCCCATAAGCACACACATTCAGCCATCCAGAATAAATCTCATGGGAGGTACTTTTCCTCTCTAGCCCACAATTAAATGACTTCTTTACTGCCTCTTCCTGTTTATGCATTTCTCCTCCCCAGTGATTGGGCTCAGTGGCTGAATCGTCATGTATTTCTGCATGGCATGGCATCCTTGCTTCCCTCCCTCTTTAAAGTTACTTGCTTAACTTTTCTTCTGTGTATCTTAATTAGCACATTGCCAGCTTTAGGCATTAGGACGTTTTTTTCCTAGTTAAAGCCTCCTTAAAATATGGTCACATAACTTTGTACATTATAGAGTATGAAAACACTTAATGATGAAAGCTCTTTTTAAGGTTTATTCTGTTGAACTTGATGAGATTTTCAATATCCCACTGTGCTAAATCCCCATGCACATAGACAAATACAAGGAGAGGTTTAAGAATGAAATAGTTCAGGCTACACAGTTGGCATCTCAATTTGGTAGATGAAGGAAATGGCCTTGCACCTGCCCTGATTTTAGCACAAGGGAGGTTAACTTTAGTTTCAAGGCATTAGCATGAATGCAAATAAAATATATTTACTCAGGTTTGAACGTGTGTTGCTTCAGTTGCCTGATAGCCTACGTGATACAACGACATTTAAAATCGTGTCGATTCTTACTGTTGGGTTAAATCTTAATACTGCAACTTCTGGAGTAATTTTTGTTGCAAATGAAAAAAGGGGGAAAAAAAGCATAACTACAATACGTTTGAGTTCTCTTAGGCTCATCCTGAGCTTAGTTAAAATTATCTTATTTACTTTTGGGTCTCTTATTAAAAATCTTGTTTCAGAAAACATTTTACATCAATTTCACACTCTTTCAGGCATGAAACTATTTGCCTGTGAGCTCCTGCCATGACCACAAAATCCTTGATTTCTGATTTCTGATGATCATTTTGTTGGGATTTACTGACAGCAGCTGTCACCTATCCCAGCACTCCACTTTTGCAGAGCATGGGTGCTCTCAGCTCTTTGCAGCCACCAGTATTCAACATACCCATGCAGCAAAACTCAAAGGATGGCTCCTCTAAAAAAGTTTGGCTGACAGATCCGCATACGTCATTTCTTGGCATCTATCTGTCAAATTATTTGGCAGTTCTCTCCATATGAATTGTAGCAGTTTAGCTGCAACAATTTCCAGATCAAAGCTGTCAATCACTAGGCAATTCCCACAAGGACATGCAAAAGGACCTATGGAGGAATTATCTAAAGCTGCAATAATCTAGAAGACCTGATAAAGGAAAAAAGGCAAGATTTCGCGAATTATATGGACTGAAGTTCAATTACTGTTTTCCTTTGTACAATTTAAGACAGTGAGATATCACAGCCACTAGATCTGGAGGCAAAAATCTAGAAAGTGAATTGCAATTCATCTATTTCTTTGGCATTCCCTCCCTTTCCAATTAAACATGCTTTTCTTTTTGTCTCCATTATTCTGAGGAGGCAGTAAACCTCAGTCTAAATGAGCATTTACATGAAAATCAGAGCTCTCCAAGGCATCCACTGAAACTCCTTTAATACAATATTTGCTTTAATTTGTTTTTCTTTCTTGCCTGTGGGAGAGTTTCAATCACATTTGGTATGATTTATAATTGCATGCCCCCTCCTCCTGCAGAGGTCATTCTCTTTCCTAAAACTGCATCATTTGACTAGAAAGACTTCCTTTCACAAGTAAACAGCTCAGCAATCAATATTGTCCACAGATGACAGTGAGCGCAGTCCAATTTTTAATAGGGTCTTTCATATGTCAAAAAGCTTGCTTTAATCTCCAAGAAATATAATCTGTTTACATCACCTGCAGCCTTTTGGTTGTCTCCTTCAGAAAGACTGCTTTCCTGGGCTCAGTGAGTAATCTCTTCTACCTTATCTTTTGAAGAAACCAGCTTCATCATACATATTTCAAGCAATCTTTACCTTCCTGAATACAAGTGAATCAGGGAATCATATTCTATGATTCTCATTTCTTTCTCTCTCTACTTCAAAATAAGAAGTCACATACAAAGGGTTAGTATGCAAGCATCTTCTTAAAGATACTTAATCCTGCTTTCATGATATTGATCTCGCTCTGTTTTATTCAAATAATCTGCCACATGCTATTGAAAGTGCCCCTCTAATAAACAAATACTTCTTTTAAAGAGGGTACATTGAGGAAATGTATTGTTTAAAGTATTGAAAAACAGTATTTAGCATTTTATTTATATAGATACACTAAGCTTTTGCCAAACATGGAATGATGTGCAACAAAGCTGAAGTCAGTTACAGAAAAGAAAAACACTAATAATAATCAAAATAACTATTTTTTCTAATGCAAATCTATGCTATGACATGTTAAGCACTACCATGCCTGATGGCATATTGAAACCAAAGTAAAAAAAAATATCTAAACCACATACATTGGGTCTGATTTTCTATACCCACATTTATCTCCATGTTTGGTTGCATGTCTGCATAAATATACTGCAAATGCATGCATATATACAGTAAAGTAAGCATCTAGCCATGTCTGCATGTGTATCTTCTGCTTATCTATATGTCTGTTTTGTGCCCTTACTGATCAGACATATAACCGACAGAAAAATTAGGGTCCATACCTTTCAGTCTAGTGGGATCTTGGTGTTTGAATTTTGTGAGATTCCTCTTTCTTGCAATCCGAAGCTCTTAACAAGTCATTATTTATCTCCCAAACCAGCTGAATTCCCATATTCACCTATGTCACACACAACAGCTTCAGGGTTGTGGGAAAACCCAGGTGATTTCTGTGTAGTTTTTGGCTTCTTTTTGGAAACTTTGGGCTTTATTTCAGAACCAGTGTGCATTATTCAACCTCAGGTCAGCTATTCCATCTGTGTTACTTGTTGGCTTAAAAACATTCCCTTCCCTACAATGCAAATGGCAGCAGTCTTCCTTTTTTTTCCCTCTTCTTGCTCTTGACAGAATATCTTTACAAGGAAGATAAGAAACTTTGCATGTGTGCATTGCATAATCAAGAGCAGTGCAGAGACAGCTAACCTGTCTCTAGAAACCAGGTGAGAGACCAAAAACATGGTACCTCCTGAGTTAACATGCCGTGTGAAATAAATTGATA